ACCCCAGGGGCCCCCCCCAGCACCTGCACCCCAAGGACCGGAGCACCCAGGGGACACAGAGTCCTGGTGGGGATGCCACCCTGAAGCTGGCGTTGGTGCAGCAGGAGGTGGGAGGTGACAGGGAGCACCCACAGCCCCATCCCATGCCACCCTTTACCCCACAGCACCAGAGGGCGACGGGAAGACAGGGCAGGAGCCGCAGGCGCTGCGCCTTTACACAATCCTGCTTTATTTACCCCTTTGTACAAAACTGCTTTTCCCCACTTTTATTTTACAAAGCAACCCCCTGCCCTTGGGGAAGGCAGGGGGGGAGAGAGGGAACCCCACAACCGGGGAGCGCCTGGCTGCTCACCCACCCCACAGGCACCCCATCTCACCTCTGCCGGGGCCTTGGGGTGGGTGGCAGCGGCAGGGAGAGCCCCGGCAGGGTGAACGCTCCCCCCCGAGCCAACCCGGGGACGGGGTGGGGGGCTTTAGCCCCACAGTCGTGGTCTGGCATCAAATCCCGCTGCCTCCGGTGCATCCTGCCTGCAGCTCCCAACCTCGGTCCCTGTCCTGCGACGGTTACTGCCACGGAGGAATAATAAATAGGCTCAGTGAGTAGGTAAATTCGGTACTACATATAGGGCTACAGCTTGATATATCCTCACTAGATAAAGAGGAGGGGGCCAAGGGGTCCCCCCCAGCTCCTTGCGTACCCCCAGTCCCCCTGCGCCAGGGGCGAGCGCTCAGTCTGGGTCTGCCTAGCCAGCGTTGGGCAGGCAGAGGGGTGGGGGCCAGGGGAGGGACCCCAGGGGCGGCGGGTCAAGGGACTCTGGGACAGGGAGAAGTGCCCGAGGGGCAGCTCGGCCCCCGCAGCCGTGGGGAGGGAGCTCAGGTGGCTCAGCCACCCCCTGCCAGGGCTCCCACCACTCGTGGTGCCAGCACCCTGCTGGGGTGGGCACCCAGCGCAGACCGAAGGTGTCACCTTTGGTCACCACACCCGGCCAAGCTCCCACGGATGCCCCCCAGCTTCGAGCCCGCCCCGAGTGGGCATCCCCGCACACAGGGACCACGGTGTCCTCAGGGAGCCATGCCGGCCAGCCCGTCCCTCCAGCCCAGAGCCCCCAGCCCCCACCGTCCCCCATCCCTCCAGCCCAGAGCCCCCAGCACCGGGCACCACGGGTCCCCGCACACCCCCCCATCAGTGTCCTTGAGCCCGGGTCCGTGCGCAGCGCAGCTGAGCCCGGCTGCCCAGGGTGCAGACCCAGCGCCGCGCCGGCCCTACAAATATGTGTCCTCGCTCTCCCGGGAGCTCAGGCTCTCCTTGGACTGGTGGTGGGGGGAGACCTGGGGGTGCAGCAGCTCCCGGGCCAAGCTGGGTGCCCCGTTGCCCTCGGCCCCGGGGCCATTGGCGGGGCTGGGGGGGCCCTTTTCTCTGCTCTTCTCCTTGCTCTTGCGGGCCTTGGGCACAGGGGCGGGCCCGGGAGGGACGATGATGGAGGGGACGGGCTCCAGCGCCTTGCGGGTGGGGGGCTCGGCCTCGCTGATGGCCTTGGCGCCGTGCAGGCGCGGGGGTGACTTGCACTGCAGCTCCCCGTGCGTCTCCCGCCACTTCTTCAGCTGGATCAGGTGCTCCCGCTCGATCTGACGCTCCGTCACCGGCAGCTCGATGACCTGCAGGGGACAGGCTTGTGCCATCAGCATCTCCCCCGACAGTGCCAGCCGGGGCTGGCTCAGCACCCCAGCCACTAGGGCAGGGCGTGGGATACCCCCCAGGACAGAGACAACCCCAAATCCAAACCTTCTGGGGACACTGCCCCCATGCTACGCCAGCTCTGCCCGCCCAGAGGCAGCCCAGTCCAGCAGCGTGGCCAACTGGGCAGCACTGGGCCCCCAGGGTCTCCCCAGCACCTCACCTCCTGCACCAGGAAGGTCTCCTGCATGATCTTGGGGCTGAGGGCCCTCAGCCTCTCCATGGTCTCGTACTGCCCCTGGCAGGACTTGAGCTTGTCCGAGGAGCCCAGGGTGTGTTTGAGCAGCACAAGGCCCACCCGGAAGATGATCTTCACGCCTGCAAAGGGACAGGTGAGGCAGCGAGTGCCAGGCAGGACAGGGTGACGCTGCCACTATGTCCCTCAGATGCCGTGGGGCATCAGGTCCCGGTCCTGCTAGCAGTCAGGACACCCAAGAGGGTGAATTTGGGATGCACGTGCCCCCTAGTCCCCAGGAAAACAGCTCAGTCTCCACCCCAGGCACGTGGCTGCCCCAAACCTGCCCTACAATGGGTCCCATGTGCCAGGCACAGGCAAGCAGCCACGGCAGCCCTCCTGCTGCAACCCCCGAGTGCTGTCCACGTGCCGCTGGGGCTGCAGCCGGTCACCCCAGGAGGAAGAGGAGGATGGTGGGGAGCTTCTACCTTCACAGAAGAACATGTCCCAGACACGCAGGACGGAGCTCCAGGGCAGTGTGCGGGAGAAGGCGCACATGAACCACTCCGTCATGTAGAGGATGGGGTCGATCTTCTGCTTGCTCAGGTGCTTGTAGGCCACGGGCGAGACCTTGTGCAGCAGCGAGAAGAGGATCTGCCCATCCAGCTGAATGGCCTCCTGCAGGGACAGCGTCGAGAGCCCCAGTGAACGCCTTAACCCCGGCCCAACCCTGAGATCAGCTTCCCAGCACCTGGCCCCAGCCCACCGGCCCCAGAGGAGGAGCAGCCCACCTTCCAGACCTGGCTACAGGAGCAGAGCCGTGCCCCACGGATGCCGGCAGCAAAGCTACGCTGAGCCCCCCATCCCTGACTGCGGGATGCTCTTGGGGGCCATGGCACAGCACAGAGACCGCGGGACCACCCATGATCCCCCCAGGCTCCCTTCTTTCTCCGGGGTGAGGAGCTGGGGGAGCTTTCAGCCTGGAGCCATCACAGGTCCCTGCCACCGCTGAAGGCACCGCGGGCCCTTCACTCACCAGTTTCTCGCTGTAGTAGCCGGGGAGGTACTTCTCACAGATCTGCACCAGGCACCAGAACGCTTGCTGCAAGCCAAGGGACAGCGGGTGAGCACCCAGGTGTCCCCAGGGGACGTCCCTGCAGCCCCCACCCTGCTCCCAGGGACCAAGGGAGCGGGCAGGAGGAGGCAAGCACACCTGGGGCGAAGGGCACCTCCCTGCACCGGCCGAGCTTTGGGGTAAACGGGTGCCATGAGCCGAGCACCCTGCCCACCGCCAGCACCACCCCGAAGTGACCCACACCCTCCCGCTGGTCCCAGCTCTCCGGCCACTGGGTCTCCCCACCCTCCCAGCCGCGTGCTCGTACCTCGGCCGGCATGTGCATGAGCAGGACGGCGGCAATGGGGGCCTGGGCCTGGCAGTAGCCCTCCTCCGGGCGGTACAGAGTGTATGCCTTCAGCACCCGAAACAGGTCCTGCTGCCTGCGGAAGACACCCCGGGGAGGGAGAGGTGGAGAGAGGGCACGGACGCAGCCCAGCAGCTTCCCCCGTGGACCAAACTGTTACTTGGCATTGCACGGTGATCCAGCACCGCAGGCCGGCCGCTGGCCACCACTCTTCCCCCACGAGCCTGAGTCAGTCCCTGGCTGGGATCCTTCTTCCACACAAACCCAGGGTTATGGGACACAATAACCACGGCTCTGCTCCGGGAAGCTCTGCCCACAGAGGTCCCATCCTGCCTGGATCCGAGAGGCGAGACAGGGAATCGACCATCTCCCAGGGATGCTGGCTCAGGGTGAGCCGTGGCCGGGCAGGGACCCAGCTGCAAGCATAGCGGTGCAGACGCTCCCTGACACACGGGGAACGACATTTCCCTGGTGAAACGGAGGCCGCAGCCAGCTGCCTCCTCCCTCCACCCTCCTGCCGCGCCAATTCCCACCCTGCCAGGTATCAGAGCTGGTGCTGAGGGCTGCGACCCGCGCACTGAGCTCCTGGGAAGCCATCGTGTTTTCAGCCGGTGCCTGGATGCCCTGCGAGCTGGAACACCACGGGGGACACCGCGGGGGTCTGTGAGCTGGGACAAACAGTGCCCACCCCATGGTGCTGGTCCAGCCCGGTGGCTGCCGAGGTCCGAACATGCAGTAGCTCCACTTACCCGTGGCCTCCACGCGAGACGAACATCTCGTGGAAGGGGAACTGCCGATGGAGATCCCGCTCGATCACATCCAGCCACTTCGGGTCCCCTGGGAGGAGATCCAGTTCCTGGGGAGGAGAGGGTTGGGGTGAGCAACACCCCACACCGGCATGGTGCCAGCCCCACTCCGACACGTGGGGCCCGTAGTGAGCCCAAGGGAGCCGACAGAGCAGCCACGGGGCTGGACCTGGCTCTGCCCCAAACACAAGCCCCATCAGGTCGTGGGTCAGCCCACACTGGCTGGGACGCTAGCCCCCTTGAACCCCACACAGCAGGAATGAGCCTAACAGACACCCCAGCCCTTGGAGGGAGCAGGAGCCATCCCAGCCTCCACCAGCACCCCCTCCCCGGCGGTGCAGGAAGGTCCCCAGCTGCACTCACGTCAAACTTGCCGATGTTCTGCTCAAGCTTGACCTTGCTCCCGGAGAGGTACTGCCAGGCTCGGCCCCGCAGCGAGGGTGGGATCCCCTTCTGGCACCGCAGCCGGATCTGTGGGGGGAACAACACAGCCGTCACGGGGGTGGGGGGATGGCAGAGCAGCGGGGAGCAAAGAGGCCCCTGGGGCAAGATTGGAGCCAGGCCCAGCACCGCGGTCGCAGGCTGGTCCCCTGCTGCCTCCCTGTAGAAGGGGATGTGTCCCTGCACCCCTGGGGACAGGGTGTCCAGCCACATGTCCCGTGACGGTGGCTGGCATCGCACAGACCTACGGGATAGCTCGGGGAGCTGCAGCCAGAGACCCTGAGGATCTCAGGAGGGGTCTGCTCACCCCCTTCTCCCCAGCATCGCTCTTAACGTGCCAGCCAGAGCTACACCAGCACGAGGGAGCTGCGGACAGGTGCCAGGAGCCTGGCCGAGGCTTTGCGGCTTACAAACAGCTCCAAACAAGCCCAGCTCTGCCTCAAAGCAGGATCCTGCTGGGAGCTGGAAAAGCAAACACTGGAGCCAAGGTGGGGAGCGGGTGGCTCCCTCCCCACCCTGGCACGGCCCACGGGAAGCACCAGGGATGCAGGGGAAGGCTCCCCGGCCCCCAGCCCAGCCCTCCTGCTCACCCACAGGGCCATGGAGAGCAGGGAGGTGTGCCCTGCTTGAGCGTCTCAGCCTTCCCACCCGCATACCCCAGGTGGAAGGGCAGGCCTGGCCCCAGCTCCATGCACGGCCGGCTCTGTGCCCACAGTCAGCCCCCAGTTTCCTTGGCACAGGGCACTGGCCAGGACCAAAGTCCAGGCGAGGCAGCGCCTGCACCTACCCCACGGCAGGGAGCTGAGCCGGCTTAACCCTGCCGCTGCCAGCACCCCAGCAGGGACCAAATCAGAGACCCCCACACGTCCCGCTCCAACTCCTGGGGAAGCGGCAGCACCATCTCCCCACGGTCCTCAGCCAGGGCGTGCGGCAAGGCGGGGACCCAGGAGACCAGTGCTTTCAGCCCAGTTAAACCCTGCAAAAACCCAGCACGGCCTCCACGCCTCACGTCCCTGCTCAGGTGGCATGTGCCAAGCGCCAGAGACGTGCCAGGACTCTGTGAGCTGCGGCCGACTGCTCCCAAAGCCGCCCTGGGCCTCTCCTCCCTGCCCAGAGCTCCTTTTCCCTGTTCGCCGGCGTAACTCGGGAGCAGGCGGTCCCAAGCAGCCGGCCCAGCGTGGTGGTAACACCACGTCCCGGGGGAGGGTTTGCTGCTCCCTCGCCGCAGCACTGCTTGTTTACCAGGGCAGGTCCCAGACCCCACGGGGCCTTTGTGCTCACAGGAAACACGGCAGGCGATGCCCAGGGCGGCTGCGGGCAGCTCTGCCGCTGCCGACGGCTCCTTTTTGAGCCAGCTCCCCTTCCTGCTGGCTAAGCTGCCAGGAAGGAAGCTGCCTTGCTGGGTTTCGGTTCGGCAGCCCCTCCAGCTGGCCAGGCTCAGTGCGGCCGGGGCCAAGCTGCTGAGCATCTCATCCCCTTGGCTCCGTACCGCGTCCCGCCGTCGCCCCCGTGCTGAGGTTACCCAGCTCCCGGGATCCCACCGTGCCCTTCTGGGGACCAGGAGCGCATCTGGGCTGAGGGACGCTGAAAGCAAAGAGCAGCCGGAGTGCTGCCCGTCCCTGGAGAGCAGTGGGAGCTGCCCACGTGTCTGCCCTCCTTCGGTCTGGCTGGAAAGGGCAAGGACCGGCGCGCGGTGCTGGCACGGCTCAGCGCCACGAAGGACGCAGGGCTGCAGCTCCGCTGGGATCCGGGCCAGGTGGGCAAGGGAGGAAGGGAGCGTTTTGTGATCCTGGAGCGGTGCAGGTGTGAGTGAGCCCGGCAGGAGCTGGTCCAAGAGATCCCTGGGCCATCAGCCAACCCTGGGCGAGGCAGCCAGAAAAGCACCGGGGTTTTTCAGAGGCACAGGGAGCTCCTCCGAAGCAGCAGGGCCCGAGCCACACTGCGTGGCCCTGTACCAAAGCAGCCAGGCTCCTGCCAGAGCAGGGACGATCGACAGCACCCGAGGCCAGGCCTGGCACCCTTCCCTGAGCAGCCCCAGGGCTCCGGGCACGGAACAGCTCTCCAGAGCAGACCTCAGAGGTTCTGGGCACGGATTTTTGCTGCAGGACAGACTATACAGCACATCAGCCCCACGGAGCCCCCCAGGAGCTCAGCGCAAGCACAAGGGAGCTCCTCTGCCAGACGTATGGCTGCCGGAACATTCACCCAAGCCCGGAGGCCATGCTGTGGCACGGCTGGAGAGCAGCAGAAACCATCCGCAGAATGAAGCGCCCGCCTGCCGCGTCCCAAAAAACTCTCCCAAATCCTTTGTGAGTGGCCAAGAAACAGATGAGGGATTCCTGCGTTGTCCACCAGGCACCGAGCGGGGACGGCGCTCCGGGAGCACAGCACACAGAGCGGTGCCAGGAGGCTCTGCCAGCGGGGGGAGGCGGGGAGGAGGAGGCGGCAGCCCTTCGGCCGCTCTCAGGCACCGCTGGCCCGTGCCAGAGGCCTCACCGCTTCCAGCGGACACACAGCAGCAACCCGGGACTTGCTGCATCCCGTCTCTGCCTCGTTCGCAGGCTCAGGCAGTCAGGGAGCCATGGAGCCACCCAGCGCACACCACCATGAGTCCCCTGGGGACCCCAGCTTGCAGACGAGCATCATGCACATCAGGCTCAAACATTTCCTACCCGGAGCTTTTTTTGGTCTACAAGATGCTCAGACCAGAAGTTTCCATGACCGAACAATTCCCATGGCTGCCTGCAGGCAGCCAAAGAAGCCCTAGGAAGGCTCCAGCCCGGCGGGGAGCGGATGGGGGCAGGAGCGGGCTGGCTCGGGGACCGCAGGCTCAGCCCCCGCCCCGCTCCAGCTTCCCTCCCGCAATGAGAAGCGTCACGGGGAGGGAACAGCCCATTCGAGCCAACAACATCACCAAAAGGCAACGCATCTGCTTGTGGGGACCTGGTGACACGCAGGCTGCCCCAAAGCCTCAAGGGGACACTGCTGCACCCGGCTGTCCCTCCCTGCCGCCTCCGCTCGCCTGCACAGCTGTCCCGGGGCAGCCCCAGGGGACAAGGCCGTCACTTACCTTCTTGTGTTTTTTGGCCATCCACTTGTCCCAGTTGTTGAGCATATCCAGCCACTTGGACTCCCGCTGCCGTAGCACCTCCAAGGGCACCTCCTCCAGCCTGCAGGATGACGGGGGGAAGAGGCCCGTCAGCAAGGCTGCAAGCCCTCCTTGCATCGCAGAGCCCCCTCGTCCCCTCCAGCACCCTGGGGTGCCCCCCACGGCTGGCTGGCTGCCCTCCCGCAGGCGCAGAGCCCGGCCGGGACATGCTCGAGAGCACCGGCGTTTCGGCAGCTGCTCGGCGCTGCCGGAAGCGCTCATCACCCGTGAAATCACTGCGCCAGCGCAGCCCCAACTCCCCAGCAGTTCAAAACCTCTCGGGAGCAGCCTGCACTGCACCCACCACGTGCCTGAGCACCCCTGGGGACCTGTGCCCAGAGAGAAGGGTGCGCCAGGAAGGCGAGGAACCAGGGAGCACAGCCAGAGCCGTTAACTGAGCTGAGCAAGGTCTGATCCCCCCCCTGCAGGGGCTGGCTGCAGACGGAGAAAGCCGGGGCCATAAGCATCGTGTCATCTGCACGGCCCCAGTCACGCTCGCACCCCAAAAGCCTGGCGCTGCTCCAGGCCCGGCACCGAGCCCGGCCGAGGGTCCCCCAGGAGGGAGGGGAGTGTTTTCCAGCAACGGCTCAGCCTAGCCGGGGAATCCGATTTAACCCTGCCGAGGCAGGCGGGGATACTGCCGTGACGCCAAAGCCACCGAGGGGGAAGCCGGCGACATGCCGCAGCCTTCAACCCCCCCGGGCACCCTCTGCCTTTCATCAGGGGGGAGCCGGGGAGACAGACAGCTCAGCCAGGCCCTGGGCGTGCGCATCCCAGGGAGCGCAGAAGCTCCTTCAAGCCATCAGTGGAGAAGGGCCAACTTCAGCAGACCTGATGCTTTCCCGGGCTCAGCTCCGCACTGCCCCGCAGCCATGCTGATCCCAGGAGCGGCCAGATCCTTTCCGAGGACAGCGGTCCAGGCGCCGAGCATCCCCCAGGGACATGCAGAGCACCCAACCCTGCTGCAGGACACACGGGCCCTGCCTCCTCAAAGCAAGCGGCATGGAGTGGCCAGGGCCGCATCCAGCTGGCAGCTCTGCCCTGCCCAGCCCTTCCCCGCCGGGTCCCACCCACCGCAGCGGGTCAGACTGGGTCAAGCGCAATTGTTTCGGAGAGCAAACCCTCTCCGAAGGGATCTGCTTTGCTCGGTGTGGCCACCCCACCTCCCCAGCGCGGGCTGAGCACAGCCTGCAGCTCCTCGGCCGGCAGCGCAGCCCGGCACGGGGATGGAGGGAACGCTGGCCCCGAGCCGGGGAGCCCGGACTGCCGGAGGAGCTGGGGCTCTCCGAGGCGTGGGAAGCTCGGGAGCACTGGACGCTGGATAGAGGAGCTGGCTGCGGGCCTGCTGGAACCTGGCCAGCCCAGACTGGAAGCTGTTACCAGCTGATGGCTGCTTGGCAGCGGGCACAGAGCGAGGACCGGAGGCATTTCAGATGGCCGAGGCGAGGAGGAAGGGGTGGGGGCACCCCAGGTGCCCTACGCAGGGAAAGTGCTCCTCCGCACCCGCGCTGCGGGCGACAGCTCCACAGCTTGGCCCTTCCCGGTGTCCCCAGACCCTCCACAGATGCTGGGACACCCCGCTTGCCCTTCCTGTGCTTCCCCAAAACCCTTCCAGCTAGAGGGACCCCAATTCTGCCAGCCCCAGACGGAGGCCACACACACTTCTGTTTATCCCCTCCTGGGAGGGACAGGCAGGGGATAAAAGCCCCGAAGGAGGGCAGGATCGGGCCCCAGCGCATCTGCAGGGCACGGGAGGAAGGCTCAGTCCCCAGTGACGGCAGTCATCACGCTGTCGGCACCCCCACTCGCCTCCAGCACCAGGAGCTCTGGCTGGGGGAGCCGCTGTCTGCTGAACCCCAGGGACAGGGACATCCACCCCAAGCACCCAGGTACGGCCTGTGTCCGCAAGGACGACAGCTGGGACATCCGAAGTGTCCCCAGAACGTGGTGGGTGGCCGGGACGGGGTGCAGCACCTCAGGCAGGAGAGATTGCCCTGCTCTTACAGCGCCAAGCCCTGAGCCCGGCGGGCAGGGACAGGGTTTATCACCCAGAGCCAGCAATCAAACCTCCGGTGCCTCCTCTCCCCGCAGACCAGCTGAGTAGCGCCCACAGGCTTACGAGGAGTGAACGCTTTGCTCCTCGTAGATGGGGAAACTGAGGCACGAGGCCCAACTGACACCAGAGCACACAGGCCGGCAAACCACAGGGGAGCCCGCTCCAGGTAATGTCCCAGCCGGAGAGGAGCGGGCTGCCACGCGTCGTCCCCGCTGTGATCCCCCGCTTCTCCGGGCATCGCTGCGAAACCACGGCCAGGAAGGCAAACGCCAAACACGCTGCCGAACCAGCTCGCCGGCAGCCCGGAGTGAACCAGCTCGCAGCCCGGAGTGCATTCCTTCCTGCGGGGTTTCCTCCGCGGAGGGAGGCCGGCCAGCGCCTCTTCACCAGCGGCTACCGATGCCGGG